GCCCTCTCAAAAAAAAAAAAAAAATGAAAGCAGAGAGACTAAGGGCCTTAGCAGTCAGATACCAGCAATGACATGTGGTATAAATGAATTAAAAAGTTTATTAGCCATAGAAAAAAACAGATTCCTTAAAATAAATTCTCATTAGGTTCCCTGTAAAATAGTAAGCTTACAGGAAACTTCTTCCTCATGAACAGAAAATCACTATACTTTTGGTCCAAGATATGCTGAGTTTTTTCTTCCTTCTCCTTCAGATGACAAACAGATGGATGTAGCCGAATCTATGAACGAGTGTACTTGCCCCAAATGTGCAACATAAATACAGAAGCAATGAACAGAAGACTCATAACCAATACTGGAACAGGGCCACTGGAAATAAGAAGAGAAGACATGCTTAATTTTAGTAATAATACATTATTATATTTGTAACACTAAAGGTATCCTAGGGGAAAAGGGCAGGGGGAGCATCTAAGAGTCATCTAAGATTATCTACATCATATATTCCCCAAATTATTACTGTTTATTCTGAGAGTGTGTGGTGATGGCATTGTGGTTACTTAGAAAGAAAGAATCTTATCTTTTAGTAAAACATACTACAATACATACAAATACAATGATCTAATGTCTTGGAGATGCTACTCTCTCTCATTTCACATACTGCTACTTTCCATAACACAAATAAGAAAAATTTCCCAAACTCATTAAATGCAAATGATCCAATTACCAGAATATTATTTAAAATTAGTATTTATTTAAAGGCAACCTTCACTGTCTGACTACAATATACTAGGCATACAAAGATAGGTATCACATTAAAAGTTACAAAGCTGTTTTCAAATACGTGATTCCATTTGATTAACGTTTACGACATAGACAAAACAAATATTAATCTCATTTTATAAGTAAGAAAAACTGGGGCTCAGAAAGATTAATTATTACCTGCCTAAGAACACATAGCCAGAATGAAAGGGTCAGATCCTGACTTAGGATTCTGATCCCACACATACTGCTCATTTTACTGCTTTAAGGTACTTCTTCCCACATTCAAACAGAAAACATTCTAGGCAACATGTGACACGTTTAATTTATATTTAAAAGTTTATCATAGGAAAGAAATAGAGTTTATTTATCAGTCCTTTGCTAAATCAAATGCCTTTCCAGGAGAGTATTAGTAATGGGCTTCTTAAAAGGAGAACTCATTGATTTTACACAACCTGTTGAGTGTTGACTTTGGTGAAATGTTACAGGTGCTGCCTTTGTGACTCTTCCTCCCAACACTGGGTTTTGGAGAATTTGGGATGTCACTTCATGTCCCACATAAAGCTGGAGAGTGGACACTGGAAAAGACCCCGGGCATCTTTATAGTTAAGGCAATCCTTGCTACACTATTCTGTTTTGCCAAAATGTGTGTGATTGCAGGAGTAAAAACAAATTTAAAAGTCCATGGGACAAGATCTTCATCATCTTGTACATGATCATACAAAGCCATGTCAGAGTAACATCAGCCATAGGGCATAAAGTTGAGGGTGCAGCTCTTGAAGTGCTGGAATTTGGACACCACTTTGGTCACTCAGGAGCTGTGACCGTGGCCCTGTATCTTACCTTCTCCAAGCCTCATTTTCCTCACCGGTAAGGTAGGGATACTCATACTACCTCTTCAGGGGGTTGCTGAGGTATTCAGGAAATTAATACATACACAATGCAAGTGATAGCAAGCTCTCAGGAAATGCTATTACCAACCCGAAAAGAGTCCTAAACTCCTAGAAGAGCCAACCAGCTCCAAGGTGTCATCTGACTGCTCCATTGTGGCTCTATAACGAATTCCTAACTATGTCCTTTCACCAAAAACACCTCCCTCTGGTGTGTGATGAGTCTGTGGTTACAGCACTTCCAGGAGGAGCCAGTCTGTCCCCGGGGGGACTCAGGCAGCACCAGCAGGCCTGGCCACACACCAGCAGGAGGCCCAGAGCACAAGCCAGACTCATGCAAGGCCAACAGGTTTCCCCACCTTCTTGGGAATGGTTCAGAATGAGTCCCTGGGCACCCTCAAGGGCAAGGGGCAAAACTTCTCTCTGAAATACCCAAAAAAAATACCTCCAACAGAAATCGAAAGGTAGTTGGAATGCCAACTCACATAATGCCCAACCCCAAGAACTACTTCCTAAATACACGCTCACCTTACCTACCTATCTTCAATATAAGAGCAAAGCGCAATCAGTAAGTAAAACCAAATCTCAAGAATTCTAGATGTCTTCATAAACTAAATTGAGATCCAAGTCAAGCTACTGGCCAAGTTAACTAAATGAATCCAAATGAAACCTAACTTTGTTTCTTTTCTACCAGACAGGCAGCACTGGAACAAGGCAGAACACCTGGGTCCAGTTCTTGTCTCTGACACGTACCTTCGCCTCTCTAACCTGAAGTGCTGTGCAAATGAGAGCTGCTGTAGGAAGTGGTGTTCTGGAGCCTATCTGACCAGTCACCTGTGGAATTAGGTCTGCCACACACCGCCAGACACCCCAGAAAGTGAGGCAAGAAGGCAAAGGACAGGGGTCCCTCGGGTGCCCACTTCCCATCCAAACAACTTGAAAGTGGTATGTTCACCCTCTGGGATCTACTCAGCACCCACAGAAGTCAAGGAGGCCAAAGAACTTTGGGTAACACGGTGCTAATGCAGAAACTCCCATTAAGCTGTAATAGTATCAGCCAATGCCTCCAGGAGGGCTTTGAAAAATCACCCAACTCTTAGTCAAATGGTTACTCGTATTTCTCAGTGTGGGACAAGAACACCAAATGAGCAATTTCTTCTAATTAAACAACTCTCCCTCCAGTTCTCTCTATTCCCACCATTTATTTTGAAGCTACATGAAGATTTTCCTTTGTTTTCACTCAATCCATGAAGAGATGTCATTCCAGGCCTGAAACTTAGTAATATATGGACAAAGCAAACCCAGCCCACCTGGCACAAATGACGCCGTTGTACATTATAAATGTCATCAGAGCAAACACCACTAGTGGCAGAGAGAGACAGCATTGCCAGACAGCTGTGACACTGAACAGAAACACGGTCTGCTGCCAGGACTTACACTTTGAGGCCAGGCGAATCTTCAGTGTAGAAGCGCCACATGCCCCCTGTGCCTGCTGAGGTTGTGCGGCCTGCGCTCCTTGTTCCACAGCTGGCATTTTTCCTATAAGAGAAAACATTTTCCAAACAGCCTTTTCTTAGCGACTCTTATAATATTGTAACACATGCTGTCATTATATTGTTAGAAGAACCAGAAAAAAAAAACCTTTTTCTTTGTTAGTACCCCTAAATTCTTGCTTTTACTCCACTGATCATAACCCCTAAGAACTGTGTACCTGCAATATGCTAATGCAGGCAGTAACCCTGCAAAGCAGTTACCATTTCCATTGTAGAAATGAGGAAAATGAGTATCAGAGAAGGTTGAATAAAGTGCCTAAGAGCACGTAGGAAGCAAGTGGCCCAGCCCGGCTGGGGGTCCGGTTCTGACTCCAGAGCCCATCTACTTGCCCCCACACACCAGCGACTCATTTGGACACAGCATTCATTTCCGTTTCTCTTCACCTGTATCTTTGTGAGGTCAGATAATGAACCCCTGATCCCAAAATGAAGTATACATTTGTGAAAAATTATTTTGTGATCTGTTTTCACTACTTTGATATACTGGCTGTAGATCTTGGAGAGCAAGGATGTGAGAAAATGCAAAAGACCCCCAACGAGAACTTGTCCCCCACAAGGGGAGCAAGGCCTGTGCGATGGGCAGGAATGCGGGCAGCCCAGCACACACAGAAGCCAGCCTGCACTTGGACCGATGACCAGAACAGGCACCGGAGTCCCTTCCCTCCTCTCCTCCGTCACTGGGGACCCTTCCCGGCCCCCGCTCTCCCACACGGCACTCCTCCAACCCCGCTCCTCATCTCGCCTCAGTGCTGGAGTGGTACAACCTGAGAGTAAGTGTGAGAAATGGCAGAAGAAATCTTCTTCAGCCCATTTATCACCAACACAGAAATCCTAAGGGGAAAGAGGAGAAAGGGAAAGCCTGGTCCCATCGCTGCTCCTCACCATTAACCAAATCCCAGTACAACCTCCCTCAAAACCCCATTCCAGTTATCTGTGGGCTGCTGATTCTGGATTTTTGAAAAGAGAGGGGCACTTAGAAAAACCAGAAGTGAAACTCTATCCCCACCTTCTCTTCTCACTGCCCTCCCAACAGGGGTCATGATCCCCCTGACCCCACCATGGCGTTGACCCCAAACTGGGCACAAGCAGCACTGGGCTGGAGCTCCGGGAGCTCACCCAGCTGCCCTGCCAATTCCAGGTGGGGTTCCAGAAAACAAGTTGTGTTCATGCTAGGACTGTGAAAACATCCAGTCTCAAACAATGATTTGGGACTACTGGACTAGAAAGATTATATTTCAGACACGTTAATCATGGGCTACATGGCAGCCTGAGAACTTGTAATTCCATTTATATGACTGTTTCTATAGGAAAACTGACTGTTATAGTACACATAATTGTATAGGGATCTACAGAGTAATTCACTTAGGAGAACTTTCACACACATGGATACACATCACTTAATCTATTCCTCCTTATGTTTAAAAAATGGAGCTAGATGGTAAAGCCAGTGTGGATATGATAACTCACTGGCTGAGCCAGGACTAAAACCCATGAACTTTCCACCATTCCTACAACCTCCCAAGTCCATTTCTGTCTTCAAAGTCTCCTGGAATTACAGGAGCCCCAAAGGAAATCAGTGGTCTCTTTGAAGATTTCTTACATCTGCTGGCACATGGGACCTAGCAGAGGATTTGATCATCAGAGCACCTAGAAATACCAAAATGTACTCAAAATACCTCCCATCCCCCCACTGGAAAGCTATGTAAAGGTTAACAGAGCCCATTGTAATCTCATAAATTTCTATTCAGGGTCCACTTTACCTCCTCTTCTGGCCAGTGTAACTGACCCCCTCTTTCTATACCCTAACACAATGGTTTCCATAATAACCTTTAATGTTCCAACTTGGTGGCCTTCTGGATGTTCCTTGAAGAGGCCACACTCACTGCCATCTCATTCTTTACACTTTTACCATTCCTGCGTCTAGGAAGCCTGGTCCTCCCAGGCCATTGCCTGATTCGCTCCCTTGCCTCTTTTAGGTCTCTACTCATGTGTGACCTACTCTGGTCACCTTACGCCCATCCACTCTGCTCCCCACCCAGCTCTATCGTTCTTCACAGCCCTTACTGCCCAATATTACATTACTTATTTGCCTTGCCTATGGCCTTTCTGTAAGGTTCATGAACAATAAGGTTCATGAAGTTAAGCCCTGCCTATCTTGTTCACAGAATAGCCTCAGAGCTGGAGCAGTGTCTGGCATGTTCCCTAAATAACTACTTGATGACTACCTTAATATCCTTGGCTGTTCTATCATCTTACGATTGCTGATTCCCATTAATCCTGCTTGGGTACTGTGTAGCATTTTATAGCTTTACAGTTTATAAAGCATTATTGCTCCTTTACATCCTCAGAGCAACTTCCTTTTATGCTGAATTAACAGAGCAAAGACTCCAATTCCAGCCTGGCCTTAAATCCCATACAATTGCTTCTTCAAGGTACTACCTCTACTACCTCACTGAGCACGGGAAATGCAAATCTGTGGACTGCATAATACAAAGCATTATTAGTAACTGTTAGCTTCAAGTTTTTCTTACAGACTTACAAAGCAAGGATATACTCTTGGACAGCCAGTACCTCTCAACATTACATTCATGAAGTAACACTTAAAGAGTGCCAAAATTCCAGAAGGGCACACTGTAGAGTCTCTCAATACATATGACCATTGTCTGTCTAGTTACACAGGCCCCAGCTGCAGTGAATTCTAAAAGATGACAACACTCACATCTTAAAAACTACATCTGTCCTCAAATGTTCATTTCTCCATTTCACTTATGCAGCAGTTATTTTATTTTTAAGTTAGTTATTTTATTATATTTACATTTAATATATATGTGACTTCTTTTTTTTTTCTTTACAAATTCTCAGATGGCCTATATCCTCCCTTTGATAGGGACTGAACTCTGAAGGATACTGTGATCCGAAGGAAGGAAATGTAAGATCTGTTCTTCCCACACAGTGGCAGAGCAAGTCTTGAGTCCCATAACTTCTACAGGCACATAGTGGAACAGCCCTCAAACATCTCTGCCACAGTACTCACCGTTCTCAGTAACTAGACCCATTCCCCAAGGACTGTACCCACAGTACATTTTCCTATCCAGCACAAAGAATCTCTGAAATCCAGAGTGGGAACAGGCAGCACTCCAAGCCCAAAGACCTACACTACAGCCTGACACACTGTCCAGCTGGTACATCCCAGCATTACCTTGAACATCTCAGTGACAGGGAACTCACACTGTTCAGGATAATCTTACCGTTTCTGACAGTTCAATTATAATTTCTTTGCTCTACGCTGAAATCTGTCACTGAAATCTGTAAGTTCAAATCATCAGTTTTAGACTTATCCATTGTAGCCAGCAACCAAAGTCTCATCCCTCTTCACAACCTAAAGGGTAATTATCATGTACACTCCTTCAGTCTCCTCTCTAGATAAAACCCCACTCGTTTCTTCAAAAATGCCAAGACTACAGGGTAGCTTGATTCCTTCACTCATTCATCATTTATTGCATCAGGGATGATGGGCAGTTTCTGTCAAATTCTAAGGAAGGAGATAAACATGGGAACACAAATGCATTACAACGATGTGAACAAAATGCTTTGGGAGGAAAAGAGGACTAGTAGCTACTGCTACTTTCTGAGTCAAGGAAGACCTCAAGAGTAAATAACTGAACTGAGTGAAGAATAAGTAGAAACTAGGGGGTGTCCATCTAGTGAGTTCAGAAACAGTAATAAATTTACTGTTGTGGATCACAAGAAAGATGAAGAGAGGCAGTTCGGCTGAAAAAAAAAAAACAACCACCAGCCTTGATACCCACCCACCCGTTCTTTTTAAAGGTCAGCAAATGAGAAACTAACATAGAAATTAAGCAGAAGGGTGACAGAAGCAGAGCAAAGGATGGATTATTGTGGAAATTACCTGGAGAGGAGGAGTTAGGCAGAAAAAGCAACGGTCTAGAAGAGAGAAGTTAAGGGCTGAACTGGGCAGTGAAAATGGAAATGGAAAGAAAAATCCAAGATGACGCTTAAGTTCTGGACGGAACGAATGCATAACACTGACATATGGAAATAAGGGGATATAATCGGTGAAAGTAGAGACAGTTTTTTATTAGACAAGTCAAGCTAGATTGTGTTTGGGACCTCTGCATATAAAGACGAAGCTCAGTCCAGATAAACCAGTTTAATGACATCAGTTTTCTCAAAGTTGCCTCTATCCCTATTCCAGTTAAACTTTATTTTTTTAAGATCAATGACCAAAACTGAGCAATGCAAAGAAAATACTGCCTCCCTCCTGAGACCCATTAGACCAAGAGGCCTTAACTGCTCCTACGGCCACGTCGCCTGAGGCTCATTTTGTCCTCACCTCTGCCGGACGGTGGATCCCGCCGCCCGGGCGGCCACTGCTTTGCTGGGGGAGCGCCCAGAAGAGCCCACGTTAGTACCGCTGGGAGTCGGACCAGGCTACAAAGAAACAATGAGACAGAAAAGTGAGCGCACCCCGCCCGCTCCCTGACCCCAAGCCCAGATGGCCGAGACCTACACCTGCACAGGAGGCTAGACAAAGCGAGGGAGGGAGCCACAGAAGAGAAGTAAGGCAGGAGTCGGGGAGCCTGGGAGAGGCGGGGATCAAGGAAGGGAGACTGGAGCCGCCATACCATGCTGGAGACTGGAGAGTGGCAGGGGACTGAAACTGACTGCCAGAAAGCTGGTAAGCACTGAAGGCCAGGGGCGGAAGAGACTAGCTCAGGCCCCGCCCCCGACCCGCTGGCAGGGTCCTCGCCGACTCCAGGGACGCGTGGGTTGCCCCACTATATGCCTGTAGAACTTATGCTACTGGAGACTTGTTCTGCTGCTCTCTGGGAAGTACAGATCTTCAGTCTCCTCCCTCAGAATCATGGCATCCTTCAAAGAGTTCAGTCCCTATCAAAGAAGGATCCAGGCACGGCCAGATCAGAAATTTTCTCTGGCAGTTACTAGGCGCCCACAGATTTGCGCTGATGTGGCCTAACGGACGCACGCGCCGCGAGGCGCGGCCAGCTCCGCAGTAGCCAGCTGGGAACACGCGCCAGGAGCCTGCGCGGAAGCCCATAAGGGCTCAGGCGTAGTTTCCGTGCAATGGCGGAGAAGCGAGGCCACAATCAGGATACAGGTCTCTATCCGTCGGTTCTGTTCCTGCATCCGGACCTGGGCGTGGGCGGGGCCGAGCGGCTCGTGCTGGATGCGGCGCTGGCGCTGCAGGAGCGCGGATGCAGCGTGCAGATCTGGACAGCGCACTACGACCCGGGCCACTGTTTCGCCGAGAGCTGCGAGCTGCCTGTGCGCTGCGCGGGCGACTGGCTGCCGCGCAGCCTGGGCTGGGGCGGCCGTGGCGCCGCCGTCTGCGCCTACGTGCGCATGATCTACCTGGCGCTCTATGTGCTCTTCCTCGGCGATGAGGAGTTCGACGTGGTCCTGTGCGACCAGGTGAGACGGCCGCTAGTGAAGTCATTGCCCAATCCTCGCCGCGCCTCCTCTTGTCACCCTGTGCGGCGCAATACATGACCTCTGGTGACCTCTGCCGGCCTGCGGTTCTGACAGATTGGAGCAGAGATGAGTGAGACTGGTTCTAGAACTTCAGTGTGGCCACATTAAAGCTGCAGATTAGAGGACGCCACGGTCATAAATTTTAGTTGAGAAATCTGCATTTTCACTGGCTTATAAATCTGAAGCAGGTGGGCCCTGGGGTTCCAAGAAATACAAGCATTAGAAGTCAGCCATCCAACCACCTTTTACTAATGAGTAATTCATATGTCTACCCTCTTTGCATTATTTCTGTTGACTACCAGGCTGCATGCATCATTCTATGTAGCCTTTGCAGCCAGGACTCAGTCATGTCCTGTTAAAAACACCAGGCTAAACATGTCATGCCTCTATTAAAACTTTAACATTCCTCCCTGTTAAGTCTTTGGAGAAAAACCCAAGTTCTTTATCTTGGTAAGTCATGTCTCCCTGGATCTGGTCTCTAGGTATTCTAGACTCTTTGTCTTTTTTTCCCCAAAACTTTATTTTAAAAAGTAACATTGACTTGGGACTAAAAATTCATAGAATGTAAAAGAGTGTAATGGAAAAGCTCCATCCTACTTCCCACCCCCTAAAGGTAGCCACTCTTAACAGTTACTCCTGTATCCTTCCATAAATTGTAGCTACACCAGCATATGTGTGTTCACAGATACATCTTAGAGTTTATAATTCTTATTATGATACACCTACTTTGGGATAAAGCTTGGTTGTGGTTTTTTTCCACCAAAAGTTTCTGTTTGGGACATCTTTATAATACCAGTATTGGAGAATCACTTCATCATGGGGCTGGAAAATCCAGTTTTGTTCAAATGTGCTATAATTTATACATTCTTCTGTTAAAAGACACTATATTATGACCATTCTCTTTTAAAAGATCAGTGTTGTAGTGAACTTCCTTGTACCTTTTTTTGTGTGCTTCTGCAAGCATATCCTTTGAGTAAATTGCTAGAAATAAGTTTGTGGAAATTGCTAAAAATAAGAATTCATTTTAAATATAGTTATTGCCAGATTTGCCTTCCAAAGAGATTGTGTCACTTTGCTGTCTCACAGTGTGATAGAGCCTATTATTCATGGCCTAGTGCACATTGGATATCACCATTTTAATCTTTGCCAAACTGATAGGTGGAAATCACATCACATTTGTATTTGTGTTTCTTTAATTGTTTCTTCCAAGTTACTTTTGATCATCCTTGCTTGTGTAGAAGCTATTTCTTTTTAAGAAATGTGGACATTTACCAAACATCCTGCATGTGTAATTGTCATTAAGCACAAGGCCACTAAGACTATAGTGTAGTAGATAGAAAAAAAACTGAGCTTGGAAGTAGAAGACCAGGATTCAAGTTCCATACCTGCTACTTTCTAAATAGCTCTGGGAAATCCCTAATATCCCTAAAGCTCACCTTCTGCCAGTGTTAATTAAGTGAGCTGTAGACTAATTTGTAAAGATTATCCAACAGGAAAGTTTCTGGGAATGCCAGCAGGTAGTTCATGCCCAGTAATGATTATAGTTAACATTTACTGAGCACATATTATGTGCTAAATTCTTAAGCATTTTACATATACTAGTCCATTTAATAATCACAAAAAAATACAGGTTTTTCTGAACTGTAATTGTCACCATGTTACAGTAGAAGAAACAGGCCCAGAGAGAGGTAGATTACTTGATCATGATCTGCTAGAGCTGAGATTCAAATCCTGGCAATCTTGATTCCAGAGCCTGTGCTCTAAAACTACTCTAGTTCATCCATTCAGTTCTTTAGGAGGAGAACAGTCCTAGAGCTGCTCTGTCCAGTAGGGTAGCCAGTAGTCACGTAGGGCTACTGAGCACTTGAAATGTGGCTAGTTGACCTAAGATGTGCTTTAACTAAAATACACAACTTATTTTTAAAGATTTAATGTGGGAAAAAGTATTTCATTAACTTTTTGATGCCAATTACTTTAGGAAATGATAATATTTTAGGTAAGTGAAATACATTAAAGTTAATTTCACTTTTAAAAAATGTTAATGTGGTTACTAGATCTTCACTTCTGTGAAACAGTGCTGGTCTAGAGGAAACCACTGGAATTGCAGCTTTCATTCCTTAGCACACAGCCAGCAACTGTCTGCCAGCCTTCTATACCCCAAACACTGTATTGGGTAAGAGTCTGGGGGAACACAAAGCAGAATCAGACCTTGCACCTGAGAAGCCCATAGGCTAGCAGGCAGGGTGGGTGTCTGCTTTAGGCAGAAGTTGAGTTGACCAGTCACTGTATCTGCTTTTGATTTTTGCTTCGGCTAGGTGTCTGCCTGTATCCCAGTGTTCAAGCTGGCCAGACGGCGTAAGAAGATCCTGTTTTACTGTCACTTCCCAGATCTGCTGCTCACCAGGAGAGATTCTTTTCTTAAACGTCTATACAGGGCCCCGATTGACTGGATAGAGGAATATACCACAGGCATGGCAGACTGCATCTTGGTCAACAGCCAGTTCACAGCTGCCATTTTTAAAGAAACATTCAAATCCTTGTCTCACATAGACCCTGATGTCCTCTACCCATCTCTGAATGTCACCAGCTTTGACTCAGCTGTTCCTGAAAAGCTCGATGACCTAGTCCCCAAGGGGAAAGAATTCCTGTTCCTCTCCATCAACAGATATGAAAGGAAGAAAAACCTGACTTTGGCACTGGAAGCCCTCGTAAAGCTGCGTGGAAGACTGACATCCCAAGACTGGGACAAGGTTCATCTGATTATGGCAGGTGGTTACGACAAGAGAGTCCTGGAGAATGTGGAACACTATCAGGAATTGAAGACAATGGTCCAGCAGTTTGACCTTGGCCAGTATGTGACCTTCCTGCGGTCTTTCTCAGACAAACAGAAAATCTCACTGCTCCATGGCTGTACCTGTGTGCTCTACACACCAAGAAATGAGCACTTTGGCATCGTCCCCTTGGAGGCCATGTACATGCAGTGCCCGGTCATTGCTGTTAACTCAGGAGGGCCTTTGGAGTCCATCACACACAGTGTCACAGGGTTTCTGTGTGAGCCTGACCCAGTGCACTTTGCAGAAGCAGTGGAAAAGTTTATCCATGAACCTTCCTTAAAAGCCACAATGGGACTGGCTGGAAGAGCCAGGGTGAAAGAAAAGTTTTCCCCTGAAGCTTTTAAAGAGCAACTCTACCAATATGTCACCAAACTGCTGGTATAATGAAATTTTTAAAGACTTTATGCTGTGTCTTATCATTTTTGTAGATCATAGACCCAGTTTTGAAACCAAAAATGAAACCTAGAATCTAGTGCAGAAGAAATTTAAAAAAATAAATAAATATACTTGAATCTGAGCCACCTTCCTATACACCACACCTCCCTGCCTACTTTTTCAGGAAACCAGTATCTTTTGTGCTGTAATTATTCCAAGTCATACCAGTGTTGATTAAGGTAAAAATGTGGTGCAATCCCATGTTCAGCAGAATATTTAATTATAGTTTCTCTGGATCATTGTTCTGCCTATAAATTTGGCGTCATATTGTGCCTTACTTAGTTTTGATCATTTAGGTGTATCATAATTAAAGTTGATCAATTTGGCTTCATAGCTTAATGAGAACAGGATCACTGTACTTCCTGAATCAACCCTCCTACCTACATGGTCACTGTCCTCTGTTTGGAAATTTTTGTTAGTCATTCCTCTGCCTGGATCCAGAGCAAGAATAAGTATTTTTTTACAAAGATGATTTGTTATGTTTTTTGCACACTGAGATGTGACCAAAAAGATGTTTGTCTTAGAAAAAGACAATAAAATATCCATTTTGGGCCTCTGTGATCTATTTTGGTATTGTTAGGAATATAGACAGCCAAGCCTGAAGTTGGAACCTAGAATAATCTGACTGTTGAAATGAAGATGGAATATTGTCATGCACATAGTGTGCAGCTTAAGGTTTATTTCTCCATGTCATCAGTTTTTTTAATATTTGTTTTTTACTAAGTAAGCTCCTACTAAGTGTAACACAAATGCTTTTTATCCTCCAAGGCCTACCTCAAATGCCATGACTGGGAAGCTTTTGTCGACCTTCTCCCCATCTCCCAAACTGGAATTGATCCTCCCTTTCCATGTACTCTAGCTCTTGAATGACACTAATCAGGCTATGGTTCATTATTTACCTGTTGGTGTACATACAAATGAACATAAAGCACTTTTCAACATAGCTTTAAAAGTAAATTCAATTTTTAAGAACAACAAAGATCACTAGCCAAAGGCACTACATTAATCAACTGAAAGAATGCACCTGAGAGCCTAACAGCCTCCCTTGGACAAATTATTGTGCCTTACTTAGTTTTGATCATTTAGGTGTATCATAATTAAAGTTGATCAATTTGGCTTCATAGCTTAATGAGAAAGGATCACTGTAGTTCCCGAATCAACCCTCCTACCTACATGGTCACTGTCCCCTGTGCCTCAGCTTCTTCATCTGTAAAATGGGATAACTGCACTATTCTGCTTTCCCCATAGAGTAGTTACAATGTATTACCATGATCTATATAAAGTATATCCTATAAATTACATAAATGTTAGCTATTTTGCAATTTGGGGATATTGGAAACTAGAGGTTCCATGTTGTACTATTACTTTCTTTGGGGAGTCTTAAGAGGATGAAATTTCAGGTGATAATTTATCACAGGAGTATTTTAATGGAACTGTACTGAAAAGGAATTCTCTAAAATGAGGATGTCAAATATGTTGAGTCTTCTACAGAATGAAGCTTGAGTTCTCTTTTCTTTGGCATTGTGAAAGCTCACCATCCAGTAAAGTAAGTCATCCCCATCTTGTGGCTTGGTGCATGTGTCTCAGGAAATTGCAGCCTTTCCAGAAAGGCCTGGTGGCTGTGACCACTGGCTTAGGACAGACTCGGTCACGCTCTGATCTAGAACTGGAGCTTACCCATTCAAAGCACAAAAACTTTGGCCTATTTGACTATTTTTATGCAGCTCCTTCCAGAATGACCTTCATGGGTTCATGGACCTTGAGTTTAACTCCCTTCGTTGTCTTAAACTCCAGCAGGTGACAGTAAGACCACAGGTCTGGGAGGGATGCAGAACCCTGCCTGCCAGGAGCTTCCAGCTTCTGATGCAGTCACTCCTGGCTCCTGGACCTAGGATGGAGCTTTGCCCATAGGAGGTGTTCACAGCTTCCAAAACTAAACTGCAATTAGGGAAGATAGCAGTATGGAACGCTGAAGTGAAATGTTCCAGGGCTGTGTGGGTAATAATCCCTCTAGCAGTAACTGTGGGGCCTAACAAGCTGCATAGCAAACAGCTGATTGAATCCTGACAGCTCTGAGGCATAGGTATTCTAACCTTTATGGATGAATGTGGTTGAGCCAAGTTCCTGTGTCATACAGCCTGGAGGGGCAGGCCACCTCCAGATTCTCTGATTCTGAAGTCTAAGCACCTTACTGTTCTTCAGTCTGCCTTCTCCCAAACCAGCTCCTCACACAGGAGTCTGCACTGAGGTCCTCTGCAGCACTGCATTTGGGCCTGTTCAGCTCCTCAGGCTTAGAAAGGCTCTGCTGTTTGTTTTCGCTTATCAGCTTCAAAGCAGTCTTATGAGGTGGGTATGATTATCCCCCATTTTGTACACAAAACAGCTCAGAAATATGAAAGACTTGCCCAAAGGCACACAATTGAAAAGAGAAATGAGCAGGCTTGCAGCCAGTGGTCCCCTGATCCACTAAGGACTGCACGTGCAAAATTTCTCAGCTTGTCCCCATTTGGTAAGTGTAAATATCACAGACTTTAGAGTTTGTGGAACTCTTTCTGGGCTGTCTTGTTTCCTTTTCACAGCATCCTTCCAGGTAGTCCCTGTAGCCATGGTTACACTAGGAAAGCTGAGCTGAAGCCCTGGCACTGTAATTCAAACCCAGGTCTCTGACTCCCAGCCAACAGTTCTTTGGTTTGTGTTACAGATGCCTCCTCAATAAACACTCCTCCACCTTCTGACCTGCCCAGTACACGAGTTCCACTCCGCCCTTTGGTTCTGGCTCCTTCCACGAGGAAATGAGGCACCTGAGCTCTTCTCTGTCCACCTCAGCCAATACCACCAACTGTCCTGTGACCTTTCTTCACTTTTCCAACTCCCAGAATCAAATACACTCAGCTGAGTAGGACCCCAGAGGTTCCCAAACCTACTTTGTTCTTACACAGATGGGAAAACAGGCCCAAAAAGAGAAGGATCTGCCTGTGGTCACACAGAGCGACAGTTACAGACTTGTAACTTCTTTCTGAACCCCCTCACATCAGTTCCACTTTTACAAAAAACTCCTTCTTTCCTGCCACTTCCTTTGAACTGCTTACTTCATTTCTAACCTCAGCCCCTGCAGCTGTGTCCCCAACAGCCTGTGAGGGCACCACCATCCAGATACCAGTGCCCTCCTGCCTGCTAGCAGAGGGGAGAGGAGCTTTCCCAGTGACAGGCCCAGTTTCCAAGCTGTCCTCCTTGATTAAATAGCAGCCCATGTGAGGGAGGATAAAGAGGGATCTAACCACGCAGGCTCCTGAGCCAAGGGGCTGCCGGAACCAGCACTTTGTCCATGTCGAGAGGACTGGGGATTGGGTGGGGCTCACAGGACGAGCAAACTGGCCTTGTGACCCAGAATATGCCCACAAGTGAATGCTGAAACACCTTGTAAGAAGTACTGTCACTAGGCCATTGAGACAAATACAGCCTAGATCAGACTTTCAGGGAGTGTGTGTTAGGATTTTACTGGGGGGACACAGATGTAACACAGTTGCAACTTAACCTTTGTGACCTGCCACTCACCCAAAAATGGCAGGCAGAATTAGAATAGGGGGCTAAAATGATGAAATCAGATTAGCCTTTGCTTTTCTGTATTACTTAACTTTGAGTTCCAGGGCCCTAAGAACTATTGCAACTCTTCATTGTCCCCAGGTGAGTGTGATTATTAGTATGCATTAAATTTTTCTTATGTTTGCTTATATTTTCTGATACTCCATGAGTTGGTTTTCTCATAAGAGGGAAATTGAACATAAAAGTATAAAATATCAATCACTTATGTTTTTATAACATATTTTTAGACATTTGTGTTTCAAACTGTGGCCCTATTTGGGCTATATAGTTTTTTGAAGTAATCCTTTATTATTATACATTGAGATTGCTCCAACTTTTTGCTACTGCAAGATCCTAAGGGAAAAATCATAGACTTTAAATTCAAAAAGCAAGTATTAAAAATTTTAAAGCAAAAGCAGAAAAATCAGAAAAAAACAGATGTATAAAAAGGCTGCAAAACTGCCTAGCAGTACACCAAAAAAAAAGCATTTTCAAAAAAAAATTACTAACTGATAATGCTTATTTTCAAACCAAATTACTGTGTTGACCAGCTTGCTCTTGGCCAATTTGTGTGATCCCTTTGCATTGTGGGACCTGGAAACCTAACTTAACACTTCAGTTCAATAGAGTAATACAGTATACATCAGGGCATACATACCACTATTTAAAATTTTTAACAATGTAACTGTATTAGTCAAGACTCTTTTGGTTGCAAGTGACAGAAAACCAACTCTAGCTTAGGCAGAAGAAGGAAACCAGAAGTGCAGGGATGTACCTAGGCTTGAGGTTCAAATGCAACCAGGAAGTCAAATGCCACCAGAACACCATTCTTGGTACAGGACTTCACTGTATTTCATTGGAGACTAGTCTCTTCCTGATGGCAGGGCATGGGCACCTGTAGCAGCCCAGACACCATCTTACTATCTCCGCCACCAAGAAGAGCCAGCACTCTTTCAGAGTCTGAAAAGACATCAGTGACGGGCTGTGATGGGCCCTTCTCAGCACTGGTGTCTTCTTAAATTAATTTTGCAGGTCAGGGAGCACAGTTCTGTGTTGTCTGCCAGGCTCCCATTGGCTCCCATCACCTGTGGCCAGCCCCCAGGATTAGCCAGCTACAGGAACTCCCAGCAGCTGGGAGAAAGGAGCCCAGGAGGCACAGAGGAAGCAGGGGGAAGCACTTCCCAGAAGCTGAGTCCAGCAGATAAAAGTATGCGTCCTCCCCAGTTTTCCAAATGGAGATTCCTTAACAACTTAACACCAGGGACCCTGGCAGACAAGCCATCCTCTTCCGCATACCTTTTGCCCATTGCTTCCCCTTCCACAAAAAAACCTTGCTAATATCCACGTAGAACCCACCATGTGCAAAGGACTGGAAAAAAATAAATGAAACTGTTAACAGTCTGATACTCTTTGACTTGTATACTTATGCATTCTTTATATTAATCTTCCCAGACCTGACTTGGATTTTGTTCACATTTGAATAATTATATTTTACCCATTTTCTAACTTTGATTTTTTTTTTGATTTGTCAAGCAGAGAAACCTTGGACTCAGGGTTTTTTTCCCTTCATGTCTTAGAGTGCTGGCCTTTAATGCTTCATTAAGGATTACTGGAGTTGCTTTTGTTATACCTTGTATAGGTATAACCTTCCTTTTTTTTTTCCTTAAAAAAGAGACTTGCTTTCTCTTCCCATCTTCATTCTTTTGATCCTCACTGACATATGCTGTTATCCCATTATTTCAATGTAAATAATTGCTGTCAAATATTTTAAACTTTTATATGTCAGTTTAGACAAGATGCTTGCTACAATTGTTTAGACTTACTTCAGTATGATCGATTGGTCTCAGCTTCTTATAAATTCTTATCTACCATCCTTGTGTTCCTACTTCAGAGTCATTGTTTCCTTCATGTAGAACACACCTTGGAGTAACATTTTTCAGAGAGAATATACACATTTGCATTATTAATGTTTTCCT